GTATTTGCCTCTTTTTTTTTTTGGTCCCTCCTGCTGCCTGATGGCATACTCTGGTTCCAAATGAGGTGTGGGGTTGACTAGTCAGTTCGTAACTCTGGTGTTCATAACTCTGAGGTTCTGCTGTAACAAGGACAACTCTAAACTGTACTCTGAAGTGGAGAGCCAGAGGAGATGCATGAGGATGATGTGTTTGTACTTCAGTGAATCTGCAACAGGACAAAGGAGCAAAAATCTGCAGAATGCCAGAGTCTAGAAAACTGGGACTATGGGAGGCTGCAAATGAACCTCAAAAATACATAATTTATATTTGCGATAATACAGTTTATGTATATATTCTGAGTAAAACTACAGTTTGTCAGGCTGAGATAATCAGGTTTGTTTTTGTGAACCAGATAAATGTAAGCAGCGTCTATATGCAAAACTAACATTTTTATCAAACTGTTTTTTTAAATTTGTGACTACTTAGAAATTACTCTCCGGTCGGCATCACCACTGTGTAAGTCTTCAGCAATTAGAAAGGAAATTTTTTTATGTTAGATAAGCCATGAACAAACACACACTAACACTTTTACTGTGATTGGATTTTGGCAGAGAACTTCATAACTTACTATTGCCTTAATGAGTACGGACTATTCTCCCCTTTTACTAACAGACCTTTTTTCTCCTTGTTCAAAAATAAACTGTGGATGGCATCTAAGTTTAGCCGTGAGGTTCAAACAGCATGTACATAAAAACCTTAAATGAGGATAAATTCAAGACATAAAAGAGTGAAAGCTCCTTAATCAGATCCTAAAGGTCATTTCCCAATACTATTCACCGCTAAACCTGATTTGCAACAGATGCCTGGAAAGGTTTTCACTACATTGTATAGAGTTAAGCTATTACCTTTATTAGAGATTGTTATGAAGAATGCTCAGCTGACTTACAAAATTAAAAAACACATGTGCCAGTATTTATATTAGAATTCTTTTTCTACTGAACTTTAAATGCACTGAGCCCTTCTATGTACCTGGCAAAACTTCTTGCTTAAACCAGCCTTTCACTACATTCAAAACTTCTTGCTTAAACCACCCTTTCATTAACTAGGAGACAATGCAGGCAGAAGCCCAGCTGCAGAGTGGGGGCTATCCAGTTTATTGCACTGAGTGCAGCATGTATGATTACCTGTCCTGTGGGTGGGTGGCATATGTGTGCATTCGGTGCAAGGAGCTCCTGGCCCTCAGAGACCACGTACGGACTTTGTAGGCCAGGGTAGCAGAACTGAAGGAGCTAAGGGAGGCAGAGAGATATGTTGATGAGGCTTTCCGGGACACTGTAGAATTGTCCCACTCCGGTCAGACAGCCCCTGCGCTGTTGAGGAGGATGAAAGGCCCAGGGAAGCAGAGCAGTCAACGGGAGCAGAGGGAAACCTTCCCATAGTTGGGACCCTCCTTCCAGATGGTGCTAGGGTTGCCTCTTGCACTGAGGTTACCTCTCCGGGGGAAGGAACTCCAGTTGCTAGGAAAAGGCAGGTGTTAGTAATGGGAGATTCGATCATTAGAAACATAGATAGCTGGGTTTGTGATGACCGGGAGAACCGTATGGTGACTTGCCTGCCTGGTGCGAAGGTTGCGGATCTCTCGAGGCATCTAGACAGACTTATGTGGTGCTGGGGAGGAGCCGGTAGTCGTGGTACATGTAGGTACCAATGACATAGGGAAGGGTAGGAGAGATGTCCTGGAGGCCAAATTTAGGCTGCTAGGGAAGAGACTGAAATCCAGGACCTCTATGGTGGCATTCTCAGAAATGCTCCCAGTTCCACGCGCAGGGCCAGGTAGGCAGGCAGAGCTTCAGAGTCTCAATGCGTGGATGAGACGATGGTGTAGAGAGGAGGGGTTCACATTCATTAGGAACTGGGGAAACTTTTGGGATGGGAGGAGCCCATACAGGAGAGATGGGCTCCACCTAAACCAAAGTGGAACCAGACTGCTGGCACTAAACATTAAAAAGGTTGTAGAGCAGTTTTTAAACTAGGAGATGGGGGAAAGCCGACTGCTGCAGAGGAGCATGTGGATCGGACAGAGACTTCTCCTAGGGGAGAGTCTAATGATAGAGAATCTCCAGGTTATAGTCAGGAGCAGAGGATGGAGGAGGATAATGTAAGGGCCAGATCAGATGATAAACATTTACATAAAAAAGAATCTGACACATCAGAAAAGGGCAGACAAATAAACAGTGACAAGTTTTTAAACTGCTTGTACACAAATGCTAGAAGTCTAAATAATAAGATGGGTGAACTAGAGTGCATCGTGATAAAGGAGGATATTGATATAATAGGCATCACAGAAACCTGGTGGACTGAGGACAATCAATGGAACACAATCATTCCGGGTACAAAATATATCGGAAGGACAGAACAGGTCATGCAGTGGGGGGAGTGGCACTATATGTGAAAGAAAATGTACAATCAAATGAAGTAAAAATCTTAAGTGAATCCACATGTTCCACAGAATCTCTATGGATAGAGATTTCATGCTCTAATATGAATATAACATTAGGGATCTATTATAGACCACCTGACCAGAACAGTGATAGTTATGATGAAATGCTAAGGGAAATTAGAAAGGCTATCAAAATTAAGAACTCAATAATAGTGGGGGATTTCAATTATCCCCATATTGACTGGGAACATTTCACTTCAGGACGAAATGCAGAGATAAAATTTCTCGATACTTTAAATGACTGCTTCATGGAGCAGCTGGTACGGGAACCCACAAGGGGAGAGACAACTCTAGATTTAGTCCTGAGTGGAACGCAGGAGCTGGTCCAAGAGGTAACTGTAATAGGACCGCTTGGAAATAGTGACCATAATACAATAGCATTCAACATCCCTGTGGAGGGAAGAACATCTCAACAGCCCAACACTATGGCATTTAATTTCAAAAGGGGGAACTATGCAAAAATGAGGGGGTTAGTTAAACAGAAGTTAAAAAGTACAGTGACTAAAGTGAAATCCCTGTCCTTTTTAAAGACACCATAATAGAGGCCCAACTTCAATGTATACCCCAAATTAAGAAACACAGTAAAAGAACTAAAAAAGAGCCACCGTGGCTTAACAACCATGTAAAAGAAGCAGTGAGAGATAAAAAGACTTCCTTTAAAAAGTGGAAATCAAATCCTAGTGAGGCAAATAGAAAGGAGCATAAACACTGCCAAATTAAGTGCAAGAATTTAATAAGAAAAGCCAAAGAGGAGTTTGAAGAACGGCTAGCCAAAAACTCCAAAGGTAATAACAAAATGTTTTTTAAGTACATCAGAAGCAGGAAGCCTGCTAAACAACCAGTGGGGCCCCTTGATGATCGAGATACAAAAGGAGCGCTTAAAGACAATAAAGTCATTGCGGAGAAACTAAATGGATTCTTTGCTTCAGTCTTCAAGGCTGAGGATGTTAGGGAGATTCCCAAACCTGAGCCGACTTTTGTAGGTGACAAATCTGAGGACCTGTCACAGATTGAAGTGTCACTAGGGGAGGTTTTGGAATTAATTGATAAACTTAACATTAACAAGCCACCAGGACCAGATGGCATTCACCCAAGAGGTCTGAAAGAACTCAAATGTGAAGTTGCGGAACTATTAACTAAGGTTTGTAACCTGTCCTTTAAATCGGCTTCTGTACCCAATGACTGGAAGTTAGCTAATGTAACACCAATATTTAAAAAGGGCTCTAGAGGTGATCCTGGCAATTACAGACCGGTAAGTCTAACATCAGTACCGGGCAAATTAGTCGAAACAATAGTTAAGAATAAAATTGTCAGACACGTAGAAAAACAAACTGTTGAGCAATAGTCAACATGGTTTCTGTAAAGGGAAATCGTGTCTTACTAATCTATTAGAGTTCTTTGAAGGGGTCAACAAACACGTGGACAAGGGGGGGATCCGTTGGACATAGTGTACTTAGATTTCCAGAAAACCTTTGACAAGGTCCCTCACCAAAGGCTCTTACGTAAATTAAGCTGTCATTGGATAAAAGGGAAGGTCCTTTCATGGATTGAGAACTGGTTAAAAGACCGGGAACAAACGGTAGGAATTAATGGTAAATTCTCAGAATGGAGAGGGGTAACTAGTGGTGTTCCCCAAGGGTCAGTCCTCGGACCAATCCTATTCAACTTATTCATAAATGATCTGGAGAAAGGGGTAAACAGTGAGGTGGCAAAGTTTGTAGATGATACTAAACTGCTCAAGATAGTTAAGACCAAAGCAGTGACGAACTTCAAAAAGATCTCACAAAACTAAGTGATTGGGCAACAAAATGGCAAATGAAATTTAATGTGTATAAATGTAAAGTAATGCACATTGGAAAAAATAACCCCAACTATACAGACAATATGATGGGGGCTAATTTAGCTACAACAAGTCAGGAAAAAGATCTTGGAGTCATCGTGGATAGTTCTCTGAAGATGTCCACGCAGTGTGCAGAGGCGGTCAAAAAAGCAAACAGGATGTTAGGAATCATTAAAAAGGGGATAGAGAATAAGACTGAGAATATATTATTGCCCTTATATAAATCGATGGTACACCCACATCTCGAATACTGCGTCCAGATGTGGTCTCCTCATCTCAAAAAAGATATACTGGCACTAGAAAAGGTTCAGAAAAGGGCAACTAAAATGATTAGGGGTTTGGAACGGGTCCCACATGAGGAGAGATTAAAGAGGCTAGGACTCTTCAGCTTGGAAAAGAGGAGACTAAGGGGGGATATGATAGAGGTATATAAAATTATGAGTGATGCGGAGAAAGTGGATAAGGAAAAGTTATTTACTTATTCCCATAATACAAGAACTAGGGGTCACCAAATGAAATTAATAGGCAGCAGGTTTAAAACAAATACAAGGAAGTTCTTCTTCACGCAGCGCACAGTCAACTTATGGAACTCCTTACCTGAGGAGGTTGTGAAGGCTAGGACTATAACAGCGTTTAAAAGAGAACTGGATAAATTCATGGTGGTTAAGTCCATTAATGGCTATTAGCCAGGATGGGTAAGGAATGGTGTCCCTAGCCTCTGTTTGTCAGAGGATGGAGATGGATGGCAGGAGAGAGATCACTTGATCATTGCCTGTTAGGTCCACTCCCTCTGGGGTACCTGGCATTGGCCACTGTCGGTAGACAGGATACTGGGCTAGATGGACCTTTGGTCTGACCCGGTACGGCTGTTCTTATGTTTGCTCAGAAGCTAAGTATCACAAAGCAGTGCAAACTTTTGTTTAGATATTAATGGATCTCTTGCTATGAATGCATACCATGGAGATTTTGTAAAAGCTTGAATTTGAAACAGTGAGAGACAGTTTATCATTATGCTTATCATGATGTCTGTTATATTATTCACTTGCATGCTGTGAGCACAGTTTGTAATGAAAAATACTGCACATGTTCTGAGTGTTGCGGTCAATCTGGTAGTTTTGATCCAGTACTGCTTCCTATTCAGCACTCCCTATTACACAGGGCAGTGACAAATGGCCTCAGGAGAAGGCCTAGAAGCTGGGCATAAATCCCACTTCACAACTCTTATCCCATTTCTGTAAGTGGAGAAGCTAGGTGGCAACCACAGAGCTAACCATATAACTATAGCTAAGGCTACGATTTAATCACGGGTATTTTTAGTAAAAGTCATGGACAGGTCATGGGCAAGAAACAAAAAAAATCACCGCCCATGACCTGTCCATGACTTACATCATAAATACCCCTGATTGAATCGGGGGGGGGGGGGAGGGGGGCGCCGCAGGGGGGAAGCCCCAGGGGGGCCAGCAGCTGCTCCAACCACTGCAGGGGGAAAGGGGGGAGATGGAGCAGCCCCGGGGGCCCGCTGCTGCTCTGGCCGCCACCGGGGAGGGGAAAGCTATGGAGGGCCTGCTGCTGCTCCAGCCACTGCTGGGAGGTTGCATGAAGTCACGGAGCCCGAACTATAACTCCCAAGTGACAGATAAAATATATCTTGCATTATGTTCTGCTCCCAAAGCCTCTCATCTTGAAGGATCTCCAAGTGCTTTAGAAACTTAAAAAGATAAATTCTATACAGGGATCACTTCATTCACCACTGAAACAACAGCTCTTTCAACAGCACAGAGCAACATTTCTGCACCATAGCTTAAATCGGGAGCAAAGATTATTGTGTTCAACTGAAACTTCAAGGGGAATTTAAGTAAGTAAAATTGAATTACCCAGACTGGAAATTTGTCCAAAACACCACTATTGACACCAGGAACGAAATGGGGATATTTAATGACTGCACGCATTTAAGACCTTGGGTTTAAATTCCATCAAAAAAACAAAACCAAAACAAACCCCAGAGATATTCCTCCCAACCAAGCGGGCTTTGAAAGACTGGTTCAGATGGGAGGCCTGTAATGATGTTTTTTCTTTTTTAAGCAGACAAAGAAGTCAGAATGAGAAAACAGAAATAGTTACCAATGTGGCAAAGTATGTTATCAGATGACAGGAAATACCTTCACAAAGCAATTTTTTTCACAACAGAAAAGGAAAAAGACAAGTTAGGTTGTTAATCTATATAAAATATTTGTAAATACATTACAACAGACCATGGGGCAATATTAGCTGCAGTATCCCAATAGCAAATCATCTGAAATGGGAATTTTCCTTTCCACGAACATCTCAAGATGACCATTACCACGGCCAACAACAACCTGAAAATAGACACTAAATGACTATGAACCGTAAATGGCTCACTCGTTTATAAATGCAGAAACAGCATTATGCCCATCTTTGACTTAATGCTGCAAGCCCTTTCAGAATAAGCTCACTCATGCTAGAGGTTTAAAGAATTGATCATCTGCGGTAATCATAGTGTTTCTAGTAGAAGAGCCTTGATTGTGTTTAGTTGGTTAACGCCATAATCTTGTCAGCTCATTGGCGCTCTGAAATAAATCTGTTTCTCTCTCCTTGTGGTGCTATCCGTTCCCCTTCTTTTTCCAGTCTAGTGAATGGAACTATGACAATTTACACCATCTGAGGATCTGTCCCCTGGGCTCTTCACACTGCATCACTATTCAAATCCACAGTGAAAAAATGATACAAATTAGAGATAAATGCACACTTGCCTTGGAAGGAATGCAGCCAACATTCAAACAGGTTCCACCCAACGTTTCATTTTTCTCCACACAAACAGTCTGGAATAGAAGAGGAGAAAACCCTTTTAGAGCCATACTACATTTTTATTTCCTAAAAGCCAGATTTGAAAATCTCAATGAATACCAATGACAAAGGAAAATTACTCATCCTGTAATTCTACTTCTCACAAGATATTGTGCAGGATTCTCGTTCCTGGGTTTAGCTGGAGACTGATTTGAACTCCCCTAGCTCTTCCCTCTCTCTCTCTATTTTTTTTAAACAAATACTTTTTGAGCAATGACAGCAGGGTAACCCACTGTCACCATTTATACTTGTAAAGAAGTATAAACACTGCCCTCCCCCTTCAAGTGTTTCAATAAGTTCTTTCAACTGAGCAGGAGTTGAAGCTCTCTGAAAGATGATTGCCTTGAATTAAATTGACATAGGATCAAAAAATGCCTCAGAATAATGAAAAACAAGGTGAAATAGGGAAAGACAAGTAAAAAGAGAACCTTTAACACTGAGGGGAATGGATTGGTGAGTAAATCTTGTGAAATGATCTTCTCCACCTTGAGAGAAACAATTACAAGGCAAGTCATGTTTCCCTCTACAAAAATACCACCACCTTGTGGGATTCTCACTTCAAGAGTAAGAAGTTCTAGGGATCCCAGAAGAAAAATGAAAATAAAGCTGCTCTGAGCAGCAATAACAAGGCCAATGCCAACTGTTTAAACAGGGAGGAAGAAAGGATGGATAGAAGAGATCTCTCTCTTCAAAATCCATCATCAGACAACATACATCCAGAAAGGCATCAGTCAGGAACAACACCCTGTGCAAAAATTGGCTAACAAAAAAGGGACACTTGGAAAGAAAACAAAACTTTTCTTGGAAACAAGAAATCTTGGCCTCTCCTCCTTGCAAACAAGTTCTGGAGTGCACAGGGTTCAACATGGGAGTCCCTCATTTTGGGAACTGTAAGTTTAACTCTATCTGGAGGAGAATATCCGGGTGAAGTGCTTCAACCATTTCCTGCCAAAGCAAATGAGACGTTAGCATTAAAACTGCTAAAACAAAGTTTAAGTCCCTTTCCCTTCTTATATAATAGTATAATCATTGATTGATCTTTTCCGTTTTGGGTGTGAAGACCAAAACCACTCCTGAACCAAGCTGATGTTGAAGAGCTGCTGGAAAGCCCAGAACAGGGACTTATTGAAGCTACGTTTTGAAGCTAAAACTTTTATTCAGCTGCCTTCAAGACCATAGCAGCTGCATTCAGCCGCGCATTATTCATGGGCTGGTCCAAAACAGGATACAAAGGCATGGTAACCCTTTTGAATGGGGCTTCCTGGCCAAGATACCTCTAAGCTATAGTCCTTGTAGATTCCTTGACCAGCTTCAATTAGAAGTAGCTGTCTTGAACAGTTTCTGCAAGGATTGAGGAAAGGCAGGATTCTCCCCTCCAGACTCACTGTCTTGGTGCTTCTCCACAGTGATGTATTCAGTATCAGATGACTTTTCTGTCTCATCTGAATCCAAACAGCAGCTCTCATCATCCTAACTGTCAACAAGCCCTTAGTCAGGTGACTGGAATTCACTAGGCAAGGGTGTCATAAGTGCTTTGATAAGAACCAGTGATGGTTGTGCCAGTGCACGAAGCGCCAGTGTCAAGGCCAGAATTTCTTGCATTGAGCACAGATTCCTCCCATCGCCCTTCAAGCACATGAATGCAGGAGGGGCACTCCAACATCTTTTTGACTGCTGCCTTAAGGAGCTACTGGCTCCCTTTTGGCACCTCCTGCCTTTATCTCATGTGGAGACTGTCTCATCCAGTGAGCCATTTTTCTAAGTACCATCAACTACAAGTGCCAAGGCCTCACCTAGTGCAATGAGAAGCCAATACTTATTGGAACTCTCTGCTTCAACCACAGTACATGCTGCTTCAATGGTAAAGCCACCACACTGCTCTTAATGGGGACCACGGCCTATGTTAATGCAGGTAGCACTAACACTCAATGTTGGGGTGCAATGGATTAAGCTGAATCAGGTTTTTGCTTTAAGGGCTTAAACTTCAAAGAACTCCATTCCTCCTTATGCCAGATTGAGAGGAGTCTCCCACTGGATCACCTCAAAGAGGGCTTGAAGGCACTCCGCATGTTTCTTCAATGCTTAGCATGACACATCCAAACATATTCAGTACCCCTGCACACCACAGATGAGTCTGAGGCAGACAATGCAGACTGATCAGGTTTGAAGCCTCCCTCCTTAGATGTCACACCTATGACACAATGCATCAGGTATAAATGTCTCGAAGGGAACATTGGACCAAAAGAGAAGTAGGCATAGAGCCACAAAAAGAAATGTAGCATCAAAAGAATGGAACAGGAACTAGGGAGCCAAGTAGCCTTAAGGCTCCTAATAAAAGCTGTAGTGCTGAGCACTTTAATTCAGGTACTGGTGCATCAATTCTGGGAAACACCAACAAACAAAAAACCTCAGTCATACCAGGGTACTGGCCACCAACACACAAAGGAAGGGTCAAGGCAACAGAACTATTTGCACTGAAGCACTGAGACAGGGGCCAAAGAGCTAGAGGCAATGGACTCTCAATTAGCACAATTGTACCAGACCTGCATAGAAAGCAAAAGGATACTAAAGGATTCCTAACAAGGCATCATTGAGATTAAAAAAAACTGGCGCAATGGCTAGTGAGCCATACGATGCTGCAGGGACTATGGTCACAAAAAGAACCTATCAGAACATTCAGAGGGCAGCATTTATACTTGGGTGGAGTTGGGACATGACAGCCAGTAGGGGCCTGGAAAATAATACTCTGCAACTACCACCCTCCAGGAGGTTAAAAAAACCAAAAGCGCTTAAAACTAAGGGAGTTCCACCAGTAAAGCTATGTTCATGAAGTGAGAATCGTGCTGAGATGTGACACACTGACAATAGCCTGCAATATCCTGAACAAACCTTACTGAATTAAGTTAAACCTTACTGCTAACTGTTGAAGTAAGTTAAACCCCAGAGGTGGGGTGATGCCTGGCAAGCTTATGAGCAGATGTGTAGGTTCTTTTGTTGTCTTAATATGTTTTCTCTGTAATGCTTTTTACCTTAAGAATGAAGTAGGCTTGCTTAGAAAGAACTGCGTGGTAACATCTACCCAGAGCAACCTCTGTTACCGGTCTCTGAAGAGAAAGCAAGTAGGTCTATTTAGGCAGACTATCTTTGCTGGGAAATACACAGTGAAAGCAGGGAACTGTGCAGCCTGGACATATCCTGGTCACAGGGAAGTGAGATGCGGGTCTCCATCCAAGAGAGGCAACAGCTGGGGAGCTAGAAACCTAAGAGTGGGTGCCCTTGCTGGACCACTGAGGGAAATGTAGGGCAGTTGTTCTGAACTATGATAATATCTTTAGGAAAATATATTTTCATCTCTCAATATTTTCAAAAATTACTCTAGAAAACTCATTTACTTCCCATTGTTCAGAGAGTGAAACAGAGGTCACTTGAATCATCTGTCTAAATTATGAATAACTAGTACCCATTACATGAAAGCTGCTTTGTTCATAAAGGACATTCAAAGGAGGCAGAGGGAATAGCAAAAAGAACAAGCTCATGCATATAAATTACACCCAGGATAATCTCTCTCTATAGTCTCATCTCCAACATTCAGTCCATGTATTTAATATAGCCCCAAGTCATCTTTATTCATGTTCATGACAAACAGTACTTAACCGGTCACTCTGGCATTAAATAACTTTGGCTTCATTGCAGGGGCACATTTCCACTGCTCTTCACCACACTAATGATTCTCTCTTTCCACCAATTTGTTTTTCAGAATAAACGAATGTGGTGATGAGTTCCAGGAAATTCTGCATTTACATATGAAAAGCGCTACATAAGACTTGGGTATTATTTTTATTGGTGTTCTCTCAGCCAATTTCACAGAATCTCTCAGCAGTCAGGCACTACATTTGTTATTCATTCTGATCCTTTTTGGCAGATTGCCTAAAAGTTGCTTTTGATTAGAACCCATCAGTTTTGTTTTTTGGGAGAAAACTACTTTTCCTCTTGGCATTCTCTTTACTACTTTTATAAATATGCTTCCCTCTCCAATCCAATTCATTTTATTTAAAATGTAGCTGTTACACCTCTTAGTGACTACTGTTTACCATTGGTTTCCGTCTAATCTATAAATTCTAAATAAAAATTAAGCTAATTTGACAGCCCTAACGCCAAGTGACAAAAATCAACCATGACTTATTTTAATAATCACAGTTCAAAAGATACTAACAAACCAACATGAAAAATGGTGCCTCTACAGTCAGTGTCTGCTTAAGACAAAGTTAAGGACGTTAATCTACAGCATGGTCTAGTAGTGGATACAGCACTGGATTGGACATGGGAAACCTGGGTTCTAGTCACACTTCTGCCATGGGCTTTCAGGTCAACTTGGACAAGGCACTTCCCCCTATCTATGCCTCAGTTTTCACATCTGTAAAATGGGGGAAATGATACTGACCTCTGTAAAACGCTGAGCTCTAATGATGAAGAACACTATATAAGAACTAGTTATTACTATTAATCTGGAAATGAAATCAAGTTCTCACAATGTGGGTGTCCCAAGCTACAAACAGCCCTGGGAAACCAGAGCAGATGCTCCTATTTAGCCAGTTAAAAGAGCGAGCAAGCATGTGTGGACTATATAGGACCAGGGAGAGACTCAGTGAGAGGAAATCCCTGAGAATCTGAACAGACTGGTTCTATCTGGAAGGGCAGGCAACAGATGCCTGGGAGAGAGAGTCTACAGAGAGTGGAAAGCTCTGTAGGCTCTCCTTGGAAAGAGGGAGGAATTGGCTAGGAGACCATGTTTGAGAGCTGGGAGAAGGATAACAGCAACAGGAGTTTGCTGGCTGGGCCAGAGGGCTGGAACGGTCTCAAGGCAGGAGGAGCAGCAACGGGCGCTGCCTGCTGTCCAAAGTCTCGGGCTGAAGGCAGGGGAGCAGCAGAGGGGCTTACTCACTGACATCTTCAGGGCTAGGGGGGTGGACCCACATGAACCATGAGAGGGCCAGGAGGAGGGATATTCCCCTAGAAAGGATGCTCCCAGCAAGGTGTTTCCTGCTGGGACATCAAGTTTGCAATTCAGTTGAAAGGGCTGAGGTGGACTGTGCTGGAGAGTCGGGGCATGGTGGGGGCTGCCAAGGCAGTATGTTGCATGTACTCATTGGACTATGCTGGTGAAATTTGGATGATGGTGTTGGGGCTTATTTTGTTATGATTTATATGCATGAGACTTCTGTAATCCTTCCCCTTCCCCCGGCTATATTTATACTTGGGAAGATGCTTTGGATTATTTCGGGACAGGCTGGAGAGAAACTGAGGCAGGTGTGCCTGTCAGAACACAGCCTGCATCAGGAGGGTGCTCCCACTCGGCGTTGCCCAGTGACAGGGAACTTCATTTTTCCAGTGTTGCAAGAACCCCTACTGAATTTATCTGGATTAGTGCTATATTACCGGGTTTATCCAGCAGAAGTTCCCTCTTACCTTAAAGCCAAGTTGAGCTGCTTTGATAGCAGCAACATATCCTCCAGGCCCAGAACCAATAACTGTGATGTCAGCATCAGCTAAAAGAAAAAATACAAAACTTTAAAATGTTTTCAAGTTACTTTTCTTGCTATAATTTAGGTTTATTTTAGTTTTACTATAGGAATACCTAGCCTGCAACATTCTGGGATAGTTCCACATTGACTATCCACAGATTGAGAGAGAATATATAGCTAGTTTTTAAAAATGATGGTGCTGTTCAGTGAATTTAGACACGTAAATTTTGACTACTGAAAGCAACCTCCTGAATCAAAAAATGGAATGGTTCATGGACACTATTTGTTCTGTAAATAAAAACAACCACTCTTACCGATTTGAGAACAAAAGCACTGTAAACTGAGGTAAAGGGACTGAATTCTGGTCTGACCTGCACTCCTTGCATCTACTCTGGGATTGCATATGCTATAAATCTTTGTAGAATTTGGCCAAAGGTATTTGTAGTTATGTTTAACTGCCTTTGAAAAAACTGTTACAAGAAAGGACTTGAACGTGTCATGTGGCATTATTACAGATATTAAAAAAATAAGGAGAATGCTGATAGACTAATGTTACACCTTTACATTGTCCTGTGCGCGAACAGGGTTAGGTTACACATCTCATGCTCAATAATCAAGAGAAACTGGGATATGAAGCAGAGTCTTCATATTTAGCTCCCAGACCATAGAAAGATTAACTTGTGATCCACAAAAGCAACCCTTCCACATCATTTGTGCAATGTAAGAAAAATGGCATATCTGATTATTTTAACCTCTAACAATAATAATGTATAAATGATTAGTATAGTCAATCCAATCCACTGCATGCCATCACCTGATATCTATGTTGTAGAACAGGGGTTCTCAAACAGGGGGTCACAAGGTTATTACCTGGGGGTTGTGTGCGATCAGCCTCCACCCCCAAACCCTGCTTTACCTCCAGCATTTATAAGTGTTATAGATTAAAAAACATATTTTTTTATATTTAAGGGGGTCGCATTCAGAGGCTTGCTATGTGAAAGGGGTCACCAATACAAAAGTTTGAGAACCACTCATACCATCAACCCTGATGGTACAATTGTCTCCACGTGGATGGGCTCTTGTGGCTGCAGAATCACTTGTAAGATTGGGGCCTCAATTTGAAATACAACTTTGTCTCCTGAAAGCTATTTTACAGCAATCAAAATTTACCTAGATCAGCATAGCTCCTCAGCGACACTGCACAAATCCCCTGTAGGCCATGATGGATTCGACTAAAATGGCTTCTCTAGAGAGGGGAAAAAACAAAAGTTTAACTTTCTCCATAAAGAAAATAACTGTATACGAATCAGCAACTTCTCACAATCTGTTTCATTAGAAAATCCAATTACATTAAAAAATAGGTAGCAGTAGTGAGTTCAGTGGATAGCGCACTGCTCTGGGATACGGAAAACCTAGCTCTGCCACTAATCTGCTGTGCTTCCTACAGCAAATCATTTCATCTTTCTGTATCCCTGTTTCCATTCTAACCTTTATTGTGTCCACTTAGATTGTAAGATCTTCAGGGCAAGAACTGTCTCTTACCACATGCATGCATAGCATCTAACACAAAAGAGTCAAAACCTGTTTCACAGCACAAACCAGCTACTAACTGCTAGGATTAAGAAGGAACAACCCTTATTATCCTGTAACTGTTAACTACATGGTATCTTGCAACTTCCTCTGAGCATCTGATACTGATCACTGTTGGAGAAGAACTCCAGACTAGATGCGCAACTGGTATTGTAATTCCTATGGAAAACAAAACCTATATAAATACATTTCCCATATGTGGCTAGACAATACCTTTGATCACTCTACTAATATGCTGTACTCCTTTCCCCATCCTCTGCTCTTATATTGTGAGAGCCTCAGAGCAGGGATTGTCCTTTTCTTTTAGGAAAGCTACTAAACAGCAGGCATTATCAGATAGTAAATAATGGCAGCACAGATTACAAAACCCCATTCAACCTTTTCTGTGGAAGGACTGTGGGGCAATTCGATAATAGACCATTCTATTGCTCCATTTTACGGTTACTTCCCGAATGGGAGACAGGTAGGGAACAGTCATTTTACCCCTTATCCACAGTTCAGTTGTTTAAGAGGATAAACAACATTTCATCTTATCTCACTCACTCACAGTACCTATAAACATGGGGAGAGGGTAAGACAGGCTTTGGTTTAAACCTAGGGATAATTACGAAGAGTGTATTCAGGGAAAGGAACATAAAAAATCTAGGGCTGTCAAGCAATTAAAAAAATTAATCACAATTAATTGTGCTGTTAAACAATAATAGAATACCATTTATTTAAATATTTCTGGATGTTTTCTACATTTTCAAATATATTGATTTCGATTACAAGAGTGTACAGTGCTCACTTTATATTTATTTTTGATGACAAATATTTGCACTGTAAAAAACAGAAGAAATAGTATTTTTCAATTCACCTAATACAAGTACCCTAGTGCAATCTCTATCATGAAAGTTGAACTTACAAACGTAGAATTATGTACAAAATAATAACTGTATAAAAAAAAAACATAAAACTTTAGAACCTACAAGTCCTCTTAGTCCTACTTCTTGTTCAGCCAATTGCTCAGACAAACAAGTTTGGTTACAATTTACAGGAGATAATGCTGCCTGCTTCTTGTTTATAATCTCACCTGAAAGTGAGAACAGCTGTCCCCATGGCACTCTTGCAGCTGGCATCGCAAGATATTTACATGCCAGATGCGCTAAAGATTCATATGTCCCTTCATGCTTCAATCACCATCCCAGAGGACATGCGTAATAAAAGTCTTGGGTAATAAAACCAATAGGCCCGTACAATAGCCCTAAGAGTTATTATGGAGCTGGCTGATGGAGAAGAGGGGCTCAAGCAACAGGCTATATCAAGGATGGCAAAACGTGGCTCGCGAGCCACATGCAGCTCTTTTACAGTTAAAGTGCGGCTTGCAGAGACACACACACACCCCCAACCGCTCCCCAGTTCTACACCTACCAGACTTGGGCAGGGAGCTCGGGACCTATACCTTGAAAGGTGTGGGGATATTCATGAAAACTTGGATCCTGGTTTTGCCTGAAAACCAGCAGCTCTGTCAAGGACTCAGTTCTTGGGAGCAGATCTACTTTATTAAAGAGGAAAGGTAACCCTTAAAAAGTGTAGACCTAGGATTGCGTTTTATGCTTTGTTTTGTATGTGTAACCAATTATGTTTCCACTTATCTTTTCTCAGTATGACAAATTGCAGTCTTTGTTAATAAATGTGATTGCTTTCACTATAAATATATTTCAGTGCTGTAATGTTCCAAAGGACCTGATCCTGAGTTGTATCAGTCAAGCCATGTGTACATTGTCTCTTTGGGGACAGCTTACCTGGTAATTACTGTGAGTGTCCAGTGATGGGCTGGATACTGCAGGGAGCACTGGGAGGACCGGGGGGTGGGGGGAGGAGGGAAGGGGGAGAGAGAGTTGGTGTATACCAAGCACTAGCCTGCACAGAAAGGGTTAGGTCTGCAAAGACCTGGAAGTAAGAGCTTGTGGGCCTAGAGGCTGTTGGTTTCAGGGAGCTGAGCCACACCAAGCATAGACAAGACTGCTTCACACTAAGGGCAGGTAGTGGTGAGATGCCTTACAACCTTGCTAACCCTGGAGCATGTCACACTGTGCCTCTTCCCCCCCCCCCCCCAATGCTCTGAGCTGCGTAGAGGGGATCTTGATGCCTGTTGCTTGTGCCCCACTTCCCAGTGCCCTGAGATTCTCCCCTTCCCCGTTTGTTCTCCTGTGTGCTGGCCCCACATTGTCTTCATATCCTCACACTGACTTGAAAAGCAAATGTAGCTCACACTGTGCTGGTTTTACTATGCTTAATCTACATATCATATGGTTTTAGGCGTGACTATACATCCATGATTATACATCCATTTGTCTGGCAAAACCTGTTTTTCACCTCTAATGGGGAGTAACACCTTGACATCAACCATAAGGACATATTTCCAGTATTATATTATCAGTATAGAGACAATTTTTACAATATATTCAATACATACATTTCACAATAGTATTAAGGACCAGCATGATCATGGCTTTCATTTAATATCTCATGCAATGTTCTATATAAATACGGTGACAGCAAAGTGTTAGGTGTACTGCGTTTGTCAGCCCTCATAAGAGTTGCTGCTGTTACAGAACAGTGAGCCCTTTGCCAGTTGGCACCCAAGGGGCTCTTAGGGTCACACGCAGGCACCAAGGTGGCCCCTGCCCAGCTCAGGGGTGGCGGGGGAACCGGGACCGGGACCCCCTCT